CTGGATTCTCCTTTGATACAGATTTGGATGAGATTTGACTTGTGCAAACTTTKGAAAATTTAACTGATTCATTCCCCATTGTGAAGTCAGTCGGGGGAAAAAAGCATCTTGTATTTCAAGCATAAAATCCTCCTCTCYTCCCAGATGGAAGGCACATTGAAAATAAAACAGTTCAGAACTGGATCTGGGTAATTCAGGAGCGCCTACTGTTTTCTTGTGACTCTGGCAATTGCTTTCCCAAGGAAATCTTTTCAATACAAGAGAATACGAACTAATTTACCATTTTTGAATAGGATAAGGTTAGCTGTTTAGCTGAAACAAACCAGTGTTTATCAACAGAACTCCACTGCTGTGCGTTATATCAGGACTAATAAACATGAGCTATGATACCATTGATTACCTGGTGTATGTGGGTGCTTAGCACAAGTGCTGAGTGACTGGTGCAAAACTTGGCTTGTTAAGCAAATGGCTTGAATAAATGAAACAACTGGGTGATCTAGCAAGCCCTCTGTCATTGTAGTTATCTTGTATTACATTTCTAGTMATTTACTTAATGTCTTGGGTTTTTCTTTTCTGTTTTTCAGAATTAAAAAAAAAACAAGTGATATTGGTTAAATTTACGGGCATTACTAAGAACTACCAGAACATACAATCTGCCTCTTGGTTATATGATCACATGGAGTCTGTAAATCCAACCAAAACAGGTTGCAGGGTTGGGACCTCCACCTATACTGTATCAGTAACATTCAGTGGCAATGCCTAAGCAGTGAAGGTCTAGCTTACCTYTTTTTTTAAGACTGCAATATGAATTAGGAAACCTGTATTGTCAAAACTAAGGGCTCAACAAAATTTCTGTGACTATTTCTTAGCCCTCCATACAGGCATGCAGAAATGCAAGTAAAAACGGTGACCTTGTAAAAAGGATGCCTCTTGCAGATTTGACTATGGCTGTGCAGTAACTTTACTCTTAAAAGATCATCAAGAAATTTCCCCCTGCCCCCACTGAAATAAAATTTTGTCACTAAACCAAATAATCCTGACTTGCACRGGCTATCCAAAGCTTAGTTTTACCACCCTAATACATCACAACCTTTCTCCCTTCTCTTATAAAGTTTGCCAGTTTTCTTTTATAGCTTTGTACTCAAGACATGGTTATAAATTTGAATTCCAAGCCATTTGCTCCAACGATCTTATTAACATTAACAAAAGAGTAGCAAGGAGAGAAACAAAATAAAAGAAACAAACAGAACAAGCAATGCAAAATAAAAGGACTCTAATGAAAGCAGTAACTTACTGTAGCTACTTTCACTATCGCTGGCATTAGAAGAAACATGTTCTGCAAGAACAGTACAGCAAATTAAAGAACATAACCAAGCACCACAGAGCTGCAGAAACTTAAAAGAACTGCCACAGTCATGCAAAGGTAGTTATGCAGAGCAGAAATAAAAACTGTGCAGTGACATCACCTGAAAATGCTCAGATATTTTACAGGGGTAAAATGAAAGCTTTCTCTCTTSTGGCGTTTCAGACAGAGACTGTATGTATTAGTGATTTGTGCCATGGCAAAACTATGTCTTTTTGTGACAGACAGTAAATGACATCTGAGATAACTTCATTTCAATGTATATTATGGTCAACTTGAACCTCACTTGATGTCTTGAGCAAGTTCTTGAAATCCAAGTGTCTGTTCATATTCTGCACTATCAGAGATGTGCATTATCAATGCACTGGAACTATTCCTGATAAATGCCTAACCTGTATCCATCTTTAATCAGTGTGGACTATGTCAAAGGGTTAACAGATTAATATGAAAGTAATTTTGATATCAAATATTGTATCTATTCTATCCCATCCAGAAG